ACAATTTTTAATGTATGACCTGCATCACTGTACATATGATAGCCACATTTACACTGTGCGCATGGCATACAATTATGCCAATTTTCCTAATCCCTGACGGATAATTTTTTATCTAGGGTTATCTGGGTGGTGGGTGAAATGGGTGGAGGGTAAAATAGGTGGTGGGTGTGTTACTGTACTTGCATTTTTTTGCCTTGTGGTTGTTTTTTAGTCTGCTAAGTCAAAAAAGGTGTCTGATTCATGCAGTACCTCCCTGGACCCCCTGTGAAAGACCTCTACTCTAAGGCATCATGTTAAATGCAAACAAAGTTTGCAAAGTTACCGTAAAATTTCATGTAGTTTCGTTGAATAAAGTTGTGATTTAGAATTTAATTAAATGTCATTCAAAAAAGTGCAAAATACTTTTATTTGATAGTGTCTCCATAAATAAAACCATTAAAAAAAACAGAAGACAATTTTAATTTGTTATATTGTCCATAAATAAAAGCATAGCTTTTCTTACAGTTGCATGGGCGGTGCAAAATAATATTACCCTCTTCGTGTGGCCGTGTTGATGTTGTCATCAATGCACTCTCACAGTTGCTGTAGTATGGGTTGATTCGACTGAGCCTGAGGCATGAACATCCAGCAATTTGGCATTTACTGCGTTTAAGTTCATGGACGCTCTCCTGTTTCATAGACTGACAGCCAGCGACAAATTAATCATGTCTGTTTTCTTTTGCATATTTGCTGCACACAGAGCAGATCATTAGCTCAGCATTGTCATAAATAAGTCAGTCTCTTGCAAAACAGTCTTCCTGAAAGCACCATTTTTCAGTAAACTTTCTCTTCCCCCTGGGGGCTGTAGATCCTCGTTCCTCCTCCCCATTGGCATGTTGTCTTTAATAACCCTTTGAAACTGGCTGAAAAACCAGTTTAAACTCAGGAATAATTATCTTTTAGTGGCAGTGGGAACAGCTCACCGATGCGTGTCTATCCAGTCAAACGACTCGGCAAGCGACCCGTGGCTCTGATCGGCGTGTTTCGTTGGGTTGACCCGGGTTGATCAGCTAAATTACTTGACACCTTTGAACGCAACGTACAGACGTCAACAAACCGCGCCAGACGCTGCTGATCTAACAAGCCCAAACAACTTAGTTTACATTCTAAACACGGTGCGGCACTGATGAGAGATTCGGACAGATAAAGGAGTGAAATGCAGAATACTGACTATGCTCTAGCTCCTGTCCACGTTTCTCTCTGTTATTTACATCACTGATTTCTGTTGCATTGTTGACAGCAGGCGATCAGATTTGGCTTTTCTGTCAAATTGGAAAAGTGCAAAAAGCCGAACGTTCGCTGGTCAACCTGGTTTTGGAAAACCCTGGTTTTCAGTGGGAAAACGGTTTTAGAAGGCTTGGTGACTTCTCAACATTCCCTATCCCCATGATACCATGCTTTATGTATCAGCCTAGTAAAATGGATTGATCCCCAAACACCCAGTTCTAACTGGATTATTTGTTTCAGCCATTGGCTGATTGGATCACTGCTTGATCTTAAAGACGTATGTACGGAAAACAAGTTTGAGGCGGAGAAAAAGCTAGAGAATGGGAAAATGCAAATTTCAACTAAAGTGGCTGGAAAACGAGGAATTCAGGACATGACTGCAACCTATCAACATTAAAGATGACGAAGGATATATATATATATATATATATATATATATTAATTTGCTCTCATATACTTTAAGGAATATATTATTTCTCTAAGACAGGGCTCTTTAACGTTTTCCAGGCTAAGGACCCCCAAACTGATAGAGAGATGGCGTGGGAACGAAGTCATGGGTACCTGTTAATAGCATTAGATTTATTTCTAAAAGCATTAAAAGAGCATTAAAATGCATTAAATTAGAGTTACTCATTCCTAAACCCTGATTCGTCTCTAGTTTTCACCTAACCTACCAGCTCCACATCATGGCTAGTTTATTTTCCCTTTGCTTCAAAAAAGGGATTTCTATATTTGGCTAAAACTGTTGTAAATACATGCTATTGTACTGAAGAGATTTTGGAGAATCCTATTTAGCTATCACTCATTTTTTCCACTGAAAGCACTGATGTCACAATAAACGTCACGTGGTTTCATTTATTGCTGTACAAAATAGTGCTGAATAAACCACAAAAAGTGAGGAAGGTTACATAAAGACACGAATGGAAATGGAAATTCTCAGTCATCCGCATTATGGCAACAACAAAAAAAAGGCTTAAATTGGAGGTAACAGACTTTTGCTTGGTCTTACTAAAGATGTTTTGACACCCAGCAGTCTGTCAATTCTTTTGGCTTGCACCTATCTGTGCTATTTTCTTTGGAGCTTCTAACACTTAGTTGGGTATTGTTTCATATATTGCTGTTACGTTTGCTTTATTTCCATGTACCTATTTTATTAACTGGAAATTATATTAGTTCTTATTTTGAGTTTATTTTAAAATGCTATAAAAATCATATTGGATTGGAAGAGGTCAGTGAGGGTTCTCCTCACTGTTTAATCTACATTGTTAAAGGGAGGCGCGGCCAAGCTGTGGACTGGTCCATTGTCCCCTTCCGCAATACTGTCCCCTGCGTATAGACTGCGTTTAGAATCTCCTCTTCAGTCTCATAGGAATCAAAGAAAACCCCAGTGGAGTTGTGGGATGAACCGTGATATCTTGAAATCTTCCCTCTGCTGTTTGTCCATAAATTCTGTAAGCACTACTTTCTTGGACCAGCCCTTACTCTGAACATGCACCCAGCAAGGATGAAATTTGATAGCAGGCTTGAACGTGTTTCTTGAAAATCTTATTTCTGTATAAACTCTCTAGATCTGAAAATAACAATTATTCTGTTTTCCCAGTTGTCAGATTTCTACTGTGCATGTAACACAGTAGAAACATGTCCGTTATACGCTCAGTAACATCTTAAGTGGAACAACAAAGTCACAGAAAAATAATTTTGCATTTTCCTTGGGCTGTAAGGGAGGTAGGTTTATTGTCGTCATTTTCTTTTTTAGGCAAAACTGTAGCTGCTGGTGAGGTGTTTTTGTTTAACTTGAAAGACTCACAAAGTTCTCTTTGCATATCCGTTTACATCCTATATCAGTTTAAGTCATACACAATTCAACACCTTTCCAAGTTTCTCTGTCCCACTTGATTCAATTTTTTAATTAATAAAGGATTTACAGTTTGTAAAACACACATTTATGATTAAAAATGTCATGGCTCTTTGTATCTTGGCCTTAGGCCTAGTTTTTGACTGTTAAGCTTAAAATAGCCAGATTGCTGTAATAATTAGATGGAATCACAGTGCAGGCTTTCAGAGCTGTGATTCAACCATCTGTTCTGGGAAAGTTGTCTCTTATTTGTTATTTGCATTTTCAAGTCATGTGATTCTAAAAATTGGCAATGGAACATTTGTTTCTGAAATTTCCATGAAAATCTGTTCTTTGTTTTGTGATTTAAATCACTGAGATAAAAGGCCAGTTTTCGTAAGTTTGTGCTTCCCTGGAACTTTCTTTCTATTAAAATTTTTTTGAAAGGCTGACTCTGGTCTAGATAAGTTAGTTCTACTTCAACACCATTTTTTAATGCACCAAATAAGTTGATGTCTTATGCTACGTTCACACCACACGCAATTGAAGCAGCAGAAGTAGCCGTTTT